ATTGGTGAGTAAATAACAGTGTGTTATTTAGAAAAGAATAACAAATTAGAAGGAAACAAATATTTTAAAAAATACAGATTTCAGTATTCTGAGGCTCTGAGCCCCATTTCTTTTCCTCACAGATGACAAAAAAGGTCCGACATTATAAGATTTAAAATAAAAACAATAATCGTGGCTTGATATTGAGTAAGAACATGTTTTTATGAACACCACAGCTTCTGGTCTTCCAAGACCCGAACGGACAAAAATACGTGCTGCAGGCACGAAACATACTACCAATAGAAATACATTGCTTTTAAAATCGTTCTGTGTGACACGAAAAAAAGGGGAAAGTCGTGTTGGTGAACACGAATCAATAGATTAAATGTTGTGACTATAACACGAAATGCCGTGAGATTGCGTTGTGTGGTCAGATCATTGAGCTGAACGTAGCGGGGAAGAAAAGGTCCGGACAGTTCAGGAAGGCCACAGAGGCTCAGTGATGACGAGGCTACTCCGTTAGCAAGATGGCCCTAAGGCACGCAGTCAAAGAACTGAAGGAAAGGGGCAGTCAGCGGCTATGAAGGAAGCTAAATGAACCCCTCTGGAGGTGTCGTATCAGTGAAACATTAGCCACGTTCACACCAAGTACTTTGCCGTACTTAGTTCCAAGCACTTAGTTCCCCTATGGAACTAAGAGCCGATTGCGTTCACACCGGAATAAGTTCCCTGACGGAAGATTACGCAAATGAGCTGCTGATGTCACTTCGTCTTCTTCTGCTTTGGGTTTACTGGCAGGCCGCAAACAACTTCACGGCGTCCACTGCCCCCCGAGTCCCCGGCCGGAAGTCCCCGGAGTTGGGGACTGGCTTCAGTAGAAGCTGCTGGGACTCCCAGCAGCTTCTACTGAAGCCTTCCGAGTAAATCGCCAGAACGCCGACACCTCCTCATCTCCACCGCTCCCATGTTTTATTTTGTGTTGCCATAAGTTAGTCTCTCTGCGTTTGTGCGCTGGGCGAATGCTAATGCTAATAATGCTAATGCGAGGATAATAAAATGGCGGCTCTACAAAACATTTCAGAGTTTTAAAGGCCGTGGTTTGCAATTCTCCCAGCCAATCAGAACTGGGGCACTTTTCTTCCCCCAGGAGAGTACCACCTCTCTAGTAGGCACTAAAAATGGGGGTAAAAGTTCCCGGCACTAAGTACTCTTTTTGGTGTGAACGCGACATAAGGGGTACTAACGGAACTAAACGGGAAAAGTACTCCGGTGTGAACGCGCCTATTGAGAGCTAAGAGTTCCCACTTGATAACCCACGGGCTGCCATCCCTCACTCGACCATCCTGCAGAGTCCAGGAAGCAGCATGTCTCAAGAATGCAATCAAGGGATATTAACACCATCGCTACATAACAGACTTGTCTCCTTCAAGATCCACCATCATCACACTTGAACTTGTGAAGCAGTTCACTGAACTGTTCATGGCTGAATGCAGCCTACTAAGCAGAACTGTTGGGATGTTCTAATTAGCTAAGCAGAAGGAAATTGTTGACCTTGTACATTTCTTTATGTAAAGTTTGGTCAACAAATTCAGCATGGCATGAAACCCAAAACATTTTTCTTAGGTCAAATGGAAAATGTGTACCTTGAGACAAATTAGCAATTTGCAACATAATCTACAAATGAATTAATATTCCACATCATGGTGACATTATAAGAGTTACAAGCTATTTTCCGTCTCAAAAGAGTCTACTTTACTGTGTAGTGCTCCAATGAACCTATATGCAGATGATGCTCATATTATCATAGCACAATTAACCTGGGAAGCAAAATATTTTAGTTGGGCCCTTTCATCAAGCCCCAATCTTTGGTGAGATATTCAAACAACAACAAAAACAGACAAATATACATGTTTCTAATAATTCAGTCAAATACCACTTAGTTGGTAGAGATGTCAGCAATTTTATTTAAACCTTATTCTTTGAAGTCTCTAGTGGACACAAAGAATTTGTATGTTGTGTTTTCTTCCTCTCATACGCATCCATAAGCCCATACTTATACTCAACAACACGCACACCCACACACACCATCCCCCACACACACACCCATACACACCCCCACACACCCACACACACACACACACACACACACACACACACACACACACACACACAACACACACACCACACCACACACAACACACACCACACACACACACACAACACACACACACACACACACACACACACACACACTACACACACACACACACACACACCACACACACCCACCACACACACACACACACACACACCACACACACACACACCACACACACACACACACACACACAGTCTTGTTTTGCCTGTTAACAAACTAAAGACACACAAGCAAACTCACCCACACCCCATTCCACTTGAGAGCACATAAAGAGCATGAGAGAAAAATTGTACAGTAATTTTACACAATAAGAGTCCAGCCCCCCCACAGCCTGTAGGCAAAACAGTTGTTCATGGCTTCCATTAGCTCGTCCATTCACAGAAAAACAAGAGTCCATCTGCTTTGCATCCTTTGTTGAGATGAAAAGCTGTTTTTCTTTTTTTCCACCTCCTGTCTGTCCACTCTGCTCTGGGTAGAAACAGCAAAACTGGCATAATGGAGACCAGCCTCGCAGGAGATTTTCTTTTCAGCATTGAATTCAAAAGATTGTCATCGAAATGCTGGAATGTCTTACAACTACAATCTACGCTTAGATAATGGTACCGTACGCTAGAGCGTCAGAAAAGAGTCCACCTCTGTTTTTGGTTCTCCTTGTTCTTCTTAATCTAAAAAAAGTACAAGATGATTTATTTTTAAATTCTACTCACTAGATAGAAGTTAAGTTAAACCCTGTGAAAATATTGAGATTCTTGGTAAAGGCACAATATTCAGCCATGAGGAAAGAGCACACCGCTACTATTGTGTCCTGTAGAAGCCTTTGTATTTTTCTCTGTTTAAAGCCCTGATAAAACAAGCTGTCCACATTTCTCATAACCATCATGTTGCTGTTAATATACTGTACATCACCAGTTCGTCCTTAACTTAAACCCTTAAAAGTCTGATTATTTCTTCTTCCTTTCTTAATTTGTAGTAGTCAATGCTGTAATTTCGAAAAGTGATCTGGGAAAGTAGAAACATAGCTAAAGACAGGTTTAAAAATACATGTTTCCAAAGAGTACCTGCTTGATTTTTTTTCCATAAGAAATTGAACAATATTTACGTTGAAGTCAGATTTATATTTGCCTTCAATTAAGTGTTTTAGATCATTTGGATAAGAGTGGGTTTGTCTACACTTGATCGTCTGATTGCTTGGGTTTCCTGAACCGTCTGAGTTATGCGGTCTTCATAGTTCTCAGCAATTAAGTTAATTAGCGCGATGTTAGCTTAACTGATAGTTAAGTTATGGCCAAAGCTCTAAAGACAATTCTTAAATGTAATTGAGGAGAGGTCACCTATCATTCACCACCCATAGACTCACTCAGTGACCAGTAAAATAGAAACCTTGCAACAACAAAGTGAAACTGCCTTTACCATTAGCATTAGTCTCTACCAAAACCAGCGACTCTATTTCCCTTTTTGTTTTGCAATAATTATAATGCAATGGTCTATCAATAAGCTTGTGTAGTTTGTGGGCTTTGAAAAGACAGCTTCTTTAAAGTGAAACAATGATAGAACCAAGAAACCTCATAGGATATTTGCCAAGACAGACTCCCTTAGCTAGGTCTACCAAGATAAGTAGGAAATTGGGTATATCAGGTCACTCTGACTGGATTAAAGAATTACATAAATGCACGGTGTCTGAGGCTACTATTTAATGGTACAGGATGCCTTTCCTGTCAATGGTAATCTGATGAAAGTGTTTCATTGGACAAGAACAGATTAGTATTCCAGGAAATTGTCCCCAATACGGATTCAAGTGCTTTTGTTTTTGGAGCCAAACTGTATTGTACATTAGCGTTGTTTATCTGCCATAACCACAATCTTTTGTCTTTTTTTTGTGGTATTCTAAGTATAAATGTCCTGTATTGCCTTTCATAGCTGGCAACAGGGTTGACTCTGTAACGTGAGTTATGCACTGCAGACGACTAGAAAAGTGCTGTCTAGTTTGATATATCTAGTTATGACATTCTGGTTTCAAATGATCTGTTGGTGGTTTAACAGCTGTGCATGCCTGTGAGTGAGTTGATAATGGTTTTGCCAGTTGTACATACCCAGAGATTAACACGTTTATACCAGAACCCAAAGCAGTAGAAGACCTTAACATGGTAGCAAATTGATTTCATCATCATGAACATTTTTAACATAACAATACTCCCCTTCATATCAAATAATCTCCAGGAACTCTTCAAGGACCAATTGGAAGGAAGGTCAAGTCATACAACAAATCCTACTATCATCTATGGAACAAACACAAATAATAGAGTCCTTGGTTTCACATCTTCTGGTTACAGGGTGTATATGCACCCATGCAGAAAACCTGTGCGCTGCTGAAGCTTAAACAATTTACCAACACAAACTCCAGTCTTGTGCATGGGCTTGCTAGATGACCATTCAAGTTCCTGACCTCTCCATTCTAACTATCCATTTCACTATATTTTAAGGACACCCTTCTTCCTGCATGGGCACTAATCATAATTTGCAAGGTGAGGAATTGTCCGATATGCATGCAATTTACAGGAACAGGCTGGCAACAGGCTGGCAGGTGCATTCACTTGGTGCGATGCTAGTTGTTGTCTCTATCTTAATGGCCATAATCTTACTGTCCTCACCACTAGTTTTGTAGTGTATTTAGGTCCTGATCGAGGACTGGAGATGGAGCAAACTAGAACTTGGTCTTAGAACTCATACCTCGGCCATATTCATGAGCCTTGATAAAAAAAGACAATCCACTGAAAAACTGAAAGTTAAGAGTAAGATTGACCTTGTGCTTAGGGGTAGGCTTAAATGATTTGACCCATCAGGAGAATAACCCCAATGCAATAAGTTATGTATTATATAATTTATAAATATTTTGTTATAGTTTTTACAATCTCACAAAAATGTCATTAAAAATGTTTGTTAGACCACGTGTTGCAACACCAGCAGCGAGTTTTATCAGGGCTTTACATTTTTAATGTGATTTTGAAAGCATGGTGACATCATTGGTCTTCTTTACCTGATTTCTTTTAAAGAAGAAAATTACATTGTACATGCTCACAGACGCTGTGAGAATATCGTAGATACATTTTGTTTTTGAGAAATGACTGGAGTTCCAATTAACCTCTGTCCTGTACTTACCTTAAATGCAATGATTGTTTCGCAAGCATACAGTATAATGATTATAATACAGATTGGCTCAGTAGAGCCATGCAAAGCTTCCTTTTTTAAAGAAAATAAACTTGTCAGAAATAACCCCGCATCATAAAAAGCAATTTGACATGTTTTATAGCTTGCATATGACTGTCAGAGAAGGATTTCAACGCAAGTCCTACAAAAAAAAAACCTCAGTCGGAGCACTGTCTGAGCGCCAAATAAGGACTATATATTACGATGGGAATCAACAAACATGTTCTTCTCTTTATAAGTTAGGTGAGCTTCAGTTACAAGTCACCTACTTGTTTTGCGCTGGGCTTTGTCTCTTGTTTTTTTTTTTACCTTAAGCAAACAAAAAGGTTGTGTTTCATTCACATGCAAAAAGTGAGATAACAGAAGGTAAGTAAATGAGATAGAACAAATGAAAGATCATTGCCGGTAATTTCAAAAGTCTTTTTGGCAAGTTTTTGCTTAGAGATACTATGTCTTTACTGTGTCTTAAATTCCATTATTTTCATCCATCTATTTTGTACAGATGAGTACAGGAAAAGTGATAGGATTTTTTTATAAATTATACCTCTGTTATATATATATTTATATATTATATATTAAATTGTATTTACATTGTAAAGACAATCCAGTTCTACATCTCATTCCAAAACACAATTTATATACAAATGCTCCATCGTTTTCATCGCTGTACAAGCCCCGGTTAACTTTCTCTACTGCCCACCCTAATTGACATAGTAAAACCAGTAGACCAGGTTGAAGAAGGTGAACGCAATCGGGAAAACCACGCGAGACCACTTGTCCTATGGCGTTGACATCCGTGAGGTCGGGGATCTTGACTTTGAGCTGCGAGGCCCTCCTCCGCAAGCGCCCTTCTTGTGGCCCATTGGCCGTTCGAGGGCCGGTCGTTCCGTACAGGTCTCGGCTGGTCATGGGCTTTGCGGTACTGTATGCTGGCACTGTCGTAGGAGAACATCGTAGCCCGAGGGTCATTGAGAACACCCATCATATCTGCTCCACTCATCTCACTGGTCAGGTTGGGTCAGGAGGATGTTGCCATGAGCGTCAACCCTGAGGAAGGGAATGTCATTAAAGTAATTTTGTAACCAAATCCCAAGTAGAATGCAAAGTCAACGGTTGTAGCCCTAACAAAAGTAGTATCAAGTTTTTAGCAAAGACATATGGGAACTTGAACATTGCATCGTGGTCTGACACATACAGGAATAACTTAGCAAGGGCGACTCATCGAGGATATTGAATGGCATAGCCCAGTGTTTCTCAAACTTTTTCATACCAAGGACCTAATTAACCAATAAAAAAACATTTGCGGACCACCTAAACTCCACAAATATAAAAAAAACACCTTGTTTTTTCTAGAACAGATTACAAATCGCCCTGAAAATGGTACAAACAAGTGGCAAACATGTGTGATGAAGGTGTTGCGCTGGGCTATATCATGCATGAAAGTGAAACTTAATCTCGCTCCAATTGCGGAGATATTCCCGTGAGAGTGCGGAAAACTGAAATGAATTTATTTATTTCAAATGTGAAATGTTACCAATATACTCACGGACCACCAGTGGTCCGCGGACCACACTTTGAGAAGCACTGAGCCATAGCCAATTGATCTGAAGGGAGGTCAGGCATGTGTTGGTTTAGTTATTGTGTTCATTTGTGTTGACAGTAGGCACATAGCTAGAAAATGTAACTAAATGTCCATCCATCACATCCCTGTTAGTGTAGGCCATTAAAATAAATCATAATCTAACCTGTATACTACTAGTTGTCTTTACTTTTTCTTCTTCGTTTTTTGCTTTTTCTTTGGGTGAAGGTTACGAAGCAACTTTCAGGGCAAAAACTCCAGAAGAGCTGTCCATGCCTGGTCAGTCGGTTCTGAAACAGCTACTGGGTAAGTCCTGCTGCCGGAGTACGCACAGTGCTGCAATTATACTGTGCACCTTCTCAAGAAGAATCCTCGGATCCGTAGGTATTTTCTTGTTAACTGTAGTTTATTGAAAGGGACAAAATCAAAACGTACTTGATTTGGTCACCCCCTTTTTTACCTCCTCTAACCACAAGTTAGACAGAGTTAGCTAGCTGTGGACTGTGGATCCCTCTGCATCACTGCTGGGCTGGGGGTCTACGACACCAGGAGTCGAGCTGTTGGCAGCTCTGGAGACGACTTCAGTTAGTGGCTGTAGCGCCAATTGCTAACTACAAATATGTATAGCCATGGGGGATCGAGGTTATATTTAATACAATTTTTTTTTGGAGCCAAACATAACCAAACACACTTACTTTAAAAACATTTTGCTAACTTCTGAAACTGTGAATCCAAGAATCAGGTCGACTTAATGCAGCCATAGGACAGGGGTATAAAGTGTTAGAGCTTCACAATATTTCATTCTTATCACAAGCCACTGGGAAACCGCTGTAACTTTGTCACCTTCACTAACAACACGTTCTCACTCAGGTCGGTCAGGGCCCCTCCCCGTCACCATATTACGCACAGGGTACCCCTTGGAAGTCAGTTTTCAACGGGCAGGGCGTCCCATTGACTTGCATAGAGCTCCCTGAACGTTGGTAATAGACGAGTTTGGATCGCGGCGAAATGCTCTCCGCAGATCCATTCTCACAGCGTTATATCAACCTTTTTCTACTCAATATCAAGCCACACTTATTGTTTTTACTTCTTTATTTTAATTGAATAATGTAGGACTTTTATTGTCCGTCCGTTACGGGGAGAGTTAGGGGGCTCAGAATACTGAAATCTGTATTGTTTCATGTTTTTTTCCTTCTAATTTTGTATTCTTTTCTAAACCACACACTGTTATTTACTCAACAATAACACATAATTATCCTTGAGTTTATTTTTTTGTTTGATTCATAAAACACAAGTGGAGTCAGTCAGGACCGAGGGTCGGAGCAGCTCATAGTAGTTGCTTTAGAGAATTTTACACCCGGAAGTAAGTATTCTCTCCGTTTCGCTTGACAAACCCATGTATAGTCCTCAAGCTCTGTGATTGGAGAGTGTGCGCCGAGGGTTACGCCGAGCGTCGAACAGCACTTTGAAATGGGATGGAACCACGGCAGACTATTCAAAACTGGATTTGAACGGGTCCACCCCCCCCCCCCCCAGGACTACACATGCTGGCTATTGTGTGTTTCCATGTTCTATGGCACGTCTCTACTGGGAATTGAAGTTTTAAAAAGACGTTTTCGTATTTTTTCCCATAATAAGAAGTTGCCAGTATTAAACTGTGTACATCCCTGGAGGTTTAGGGGATAGGCAAAACATCACATTTAAAACATATAATTAATAAATGGGTGAAAATTGCTTGTGCCCATAACATTAATATATAATACCCACATGCCAGCTAAGGTCAGAAGAGCTTTATTTAACAGCTGGTCTTATGTTTGTGACCCTGTTGTTAATTGATAAGCCTGAAACATGCACTTGTCAAGGTTCAGAGGCACATTTTGAAAATATGGCAGTAGCCATCGATCAGCTTAAGATAAGATATACTTTATTGATCCCAAGTTGAAACATTTGCGTTAACATCAGCATGTGTAACAGTTGTAAATATGCAGTGGTGTTTATTTGTAAATCATTTGGTATAATAACACAAATTCTGTGTTTTTATATTTAATAATTCTGTGTTCTTTATTTATTGAATATTCAATACCTGACAAGGTCGGAGATGAAAAACTTGGGTCGCAGGTTTCCTCAACAGTGCATTACGAGACATTTATCCATATGTGTGTACCTCCACCATTAACTGTCGTATTCTGCACATTTCTACGGTGGCCCTGAAGTGCAAGACACTATAGCATTTCAGGAAAACACCACAGCATTTCACGAAACACAACAGCATTTCACAAAACACTACAAGCATTTCACAAAACGCCACAGCATTTCTGAAAACGCCACACAGCATTTCACAAACACTACAGCATTTCACAAAACACCACCAGCATTTCACAAAACGCCACCGCATTTCACAAAACACCACAGCATTTCAGAAACACAACAGCATTTCAGAAAACACCACAGCATTTCACAAAACACCACAGCATTTCACAAACACAACAGCATTTCAGAAAAACACCACAGCATTTCACAAAACACCACAGCATTCACAAAACACAACAGCATTTTCAGAAAACACCACAGCATTTCACAAAACACCACAGCATTTCACAAACGCCACAGCATTTCAGAAAACACAACAGCATTTCAGAAAACACCACAGCATTCACAAAAACACAACAGCATTTCAGAAAACACCACAGCATTTCACAAAACACCAACAGCATTTCACAAACACTACAGCATTTCACAAAACGCCACAGCATTTCAGAAAAACACAACAGCATTTCAGAAAACACCACAGCATTTCACAAAACACCACAGCATTTCACAAACACAACAGCATTTCAGAAAACACCACAGCATTTCACATTGGACGGAAAGGGGTATTCCTTTAGTGATGTTTGTGATTGGACAGAGCCAGCCAGAGAAGCACTGCTGTGATTGGTTGTTGTTTGCTGCCAGTCAAGAAATGACGCTTCGTGATTGGTCAACACCCGACAGCGAAATATGTCCCAACACATCAGCCGTTAGCACACACTCAGAGCTCACAGCTCCTCATATCTGTTCTGAAACTAGACAAAAGTTAAACATGTACAAACCACAGACTGTCTGTGTCATGGCGAATACAGTCGCTGCTTTATTTATGTCTGTATGACGTTGTTGTGAGTGTGGACGGAGCAGCTACAGGTTAGTTTTAGCCTGATGGATCAGATTCCATTCAGAAAACACGCATTTTTAAAAGCTTTTCACTTGCCGTCTTGTCTGCAGACTTGTCAAAGCGTTAATTCATGGTTTTTACTAACCGGTATCAGTATGTTGTTACTTCGGCATCACTTTGAAACGTGTATTACAATTAAATCACGGTCAATATGTTCATTTTGTTGTAGTTGGTATCTCCCATATAATTTACATGGAGATACGCCCCGCCCCCTCTCAGCGCCTCTTGTTTGAATGACAGGAGCAAACACAGCTGACAGCCGCGGTGAAACTCGAGCGATTAGAGCGATGCGAATATTGGGTGGTCTACCATAGTATTTACATGGAGATAAGCCCCTAAAAACCATGAATTAATAAAGCATTAATTCTGTGTTTACTCCTGGAGAGGGGGCGGGCCGTATCTCCATGTAAATCCTATCGGGAATCGGATCGATCAGGCTAAACTAACCTGTAGCTGCTCCGTCCACACTCACAACAACGTCATACAGACATAAATAAAGCAGCGACTGTATTCACCATGACATAGACAGTCTGTGTTTTGTATATGTTGAACTTTTGTCCAGTTTCTCAACAGATATGAGGAGCTGTGAGCCAGCTAACGGCTGATGTGTTGGGGCCAATCACGAAGCGTCATTTCTTGACTGGCAGCAAAACAACCAATCACAGCAGTGCTTCTATGGCTGGCCTCTGTCCAATCACAAACAAGAAGTGGTTCTCCCTAAGGAATACCCTTTCCGTCCAATGTGAAATGCTGTGGTGTTTTCTGAAATGCTGTTGTGTTTGTGAAATGCTGTGGTGTTTTCTGAAATGCTGTTGTGTTTTGTGAAATGCTGTGGTGTTTTCTGAAATGCTGTTGTGTTGTGTGAAATGCTGTTGTGTTTGTGTGAATTGCTGTGGCGTTTTGTGAAATGCTGTGGTGTCTTGCACTTCAGGGCCACCGTACATTTCTTATACTATCTACATACATCTTATAAGAGTATAATACATATGTATAATATCAGTTAAAATAAGTGCTTTCAACATACAGTAGTTAACATTGCTGGAAAGCAATATATTAGTACTTTGTCAGGCTTAATATTTATACCCCCAAAGCTTTTTTCTTATTCAAAATAAGACCTTAACCTAAAGTATTCTTTAATGTTTAAATAAATCGTTATTAGTTTGTCTGTCTGTGTCTCCTATTAATATCTAATAATAAAAATAATACATTTCAATAACGTGCTTCAACCACCAGGTGTCCCTTTCTATCAGCTGTGCACCGTTATGGTGTAAATATACCAATATACCGATTGGATCAAATATAAAAGTCTGCCGAATTAGTATTGATACTGCAAGGAGACTTATATTGTGAAGAGAAATTGAATTTTGTTTAATTGATATATTTATGATCCACGTCACATATTCAGTTTCGGCGGCAGTTCTTCCTGTTTGTCTAGAAGTCTTCTCATCAGGGCTCTATAAATAGCGAACTACGGCAGATATGTAATATTTAATTCAGCCGAAACCGTGTATTACAATGTAGTTATGTGATGACCTCCAAAGAGAAAAGCAAGCAAACTCGGAATAAAAATATTATTTTATTTTAAAAAAATGTTTTTCGGATTTCACATCAACAGGAAATCCGGTTAACTTAAAATGTCCGGCGGAACAATACCCCAACCATAGATCCGTGGGTGAATAATGTCAATCACCATATTACACACATCCCTTCACATTACATTTTAATTTACAGTAAAGTATTCGTGAGCCTTCTAAAATGTTTTTAAATATAATTAGGGTTGTAGTTGAACGGCACGTCCATTAATTCCACAACCACACACATGCATTAAACATTTATTTAATACATTAATGTAGCCTTTGTTTTCTGCTAAAAGAGGTGTCAACCAGTGGGGCATCCAGAAAATTGCGAAATCGAGTGTGACTAAAAAAAAAAGAAAAAAAGATTATATTATATTGACAATAACAACCGACCGTCGGGGTAGAGCATTGCCGGGGAGCGTTTTCGTGGCGTCTATTATCAACGCTATGGGAGGTCTATGAGACGCCCTGCCCGTTGAAACTGACCTCTCAAGGGGTACCCTGTGCGTAATAGAGTGACGGGGAGGGGCCCTGACCGACCGTCAACATGTGACGGGTTGGGAGTGAGAACGTGTTGTCACTGAAGGCATAGTGATACAACACGTCTTTTTTCTGCGTTCGCATTGCGTTAACCGTGTGACTTCACCAAGGCTGTCAGTTGTGTTTACTCACATCATGCAAAGGAGGCAGGGCTTATCTCCATGTTGATACTATGGTGGATACCAACTACAAACAAATACACGTTTACAAATGATGCCGAAATAACAACATACTGTTACCGGTTTTGTAAAAACTATGAATTAATGCTTTGACAACTGTGCAAACAAGATGGCAGAACGCGTTAACAAATTTGACGTTGAGTTGAAAAAATGTAACTCTCGCGAAGAGACGAGTCAAGTCATTGTTGCCGCATCAATCGCGTCAGTTGTGACAATGGCTCAAATTCACGTCTCTGTGTATTTGGGTGTGAAACGTACCATTAGAATACATTATTCAAATTCATCATATTACAACAATGGTTTACTACCGACAGCCAACTGTGCCATGTTTTTTTGGCCTCTCTGATTCAAAGCCCAAACGGTCACACAAGCACTACACAAACCAGTCCCCCTTCCCACCTGGACTTTGTTGCTCTCCAGTCGGTTTCTTTCTCGTTGTTGGACTTTGCAGCTTTCTCTGCCACCTTCTTGCAGGTGAGGACCACGACCGAAGAAGATAGAGTTGACAAAGGCGTACTCCAACAAGGCCAGAAAGACGAAGACAAAGCAACCCATCAGGTAAATGTCAATGGCCTTGACATAGGGGATCTTGGGTAGAGTCTCCCTAAGGTGGGTATTGATGGTGGTCATGGTCAGCACCGTGGTTTATACCTGCAAGAAAATGGGAAAGCGGTAAGAAGAAGATCTTTTTGACAAGAACTGCATGCTGAGTGGACAACATTGCTGCAGAAGAATCAATGCCTTCATTAGCCCTTCATTGCCGACCATACTGTATACTGACTGTGGGCGTTTCAAGACATTTCCAAGACATCTTCCAACATTCTCTTTTTTGTTGAAGGTAGGGTATGTAAGTTTGAGAAACCGGCTCCAGATCGCTAGAATTTGAAAATACACGACGGAGAAAATCTGCCACTTCCTTATAGAGCCCGTCCTCCAACACACACGAATGCGCACATGACCAATGAGGGCACGAGATAAGTTTGTGCACAGATGGAAGGCTGACAGGCAGGTAGGCCATCCAGTTATTTTAGCCGGGTCGGCTAAAATGATTGGTCGTACTTTTACTGTACTACGGCTTCCACAGATGACATTTTCTTATGGATTTTTTGTCAAGCACTTAAGATATTCATTGCTATCGGGATGTTAAGAGCATTCCATGGAATATAACAAAAAGTGTATCTCGAGCCGGTTTCTCAAACTTACATACCCTACCTTTAAGGTCGTGGTGTAGGGATAGTAGGTCAAGGGGTTAATCAGTCCACACCTTTGGTCAAGATTGAAATATCTTCACACATATTGGATAAATGGCCATACCATATGTAAATGGTCGCCTAACTAAAATGTTATAACATGTAAAGCGTGTTACGTAGTAACATTACAATATTTGCTTCTGAGATGTATTGGAGTAGAAAGTAGCAGAAATTGTAAATACCGGTACATTTCGGTACTTGTAAATGTACTTTTTATTATTATTCAGTGTATTTCCGTCGGTGTTTGGGTTTTTGTTAGGGAAGCATTATCTCATGGTCCAACCCTGCAGTAGAAGGAATTGCTATAAAGGGATAGGTACACTTTGAACTGTGTTCACCAGTTTAATTTCGCATCTAAGCATGCTAACATTTGCTGAGATTCATAAAAACACAAAAGTACAGCTAAGGTAAAAAGATGTAACCTTATGATGGCACTAGGTGAAAATTCAGAAAATCTCCCAGTTTGGATTAATATCCTGGGTACCATACATTTCCCTAAATAATCTCTCAATCCATGTAATAATTGTTGAGATGTTTCAGTGTGGCCCAAACAGTGAACCAATCAATCATCCAGCATAAACACATATAGAGCCAGGACAAACATCATATCAGCAGACACGATCTGTAAATAATATAAAAGCCACTGACCCAAAGCTACTCTGGCAGCCGATGCATCGTAGTTGATCCAGAAGGAGACCCAGGACAGGATGGTGATCAGGGTGGAGGGCATGTAGGTTTGCAGGATGAAATAGCCAATGTTCCTCTTCAGCTTAAAGCTCAGGGACGACGTGGATAAGAGCCTGTTACACACAGGGTGATGAGAACATTGTTACTGTTGCTCCTCAAAACACACGACATAATTAATGATGTACAGTTAAGAGGAAAAAACTCAGCGGGATCAATCTTTCCAAATGTCAAAAAAGCCAACCACACACTTCCATGTCATCAAAATTGCCCATTAGTATCTAAAACAGAAGCTGTAGAGCAGTGACCATCAACTGGCCCGCCAGACTGTGGCGTTGGCGGAGTGGTTAGTGCGTTCGCCCCCCCACTTTTTTTGTATACGTGAGTAATGTGCAGTACCGGAGTCCAACAGAGAGGCAGCAGCTGCGGGACAGTAGACTGCGTACTGCATAGCCTTGCCTGCCCTGAAGAAAAGTGATCCTTCGTTAGCGTGAAGAGTCTGCTTTATGCGCTCCGCAGCAGTAGCCCCGCTGCGAGGCTCCGGCGACTTCACAGTACATGCACCCCCCCCAACAGAGTCCAACAGAGAGGCAGCAAAAGTGAGAGTAGAAGTGGTGACTATGACATGAAAGGTAATTATGTTCCTTTTTACTAATATATCTAATATATGGACACCATTTGACTCTATTACCTGTGGCAAACACAGCTTTCTTGGATTGGGTCTGGTAGTCTATGATGTCGAACTGGGGCAGTTCGATGTTCTCTCCTCCAGTGACCGAGCCTATGTTGGGTCCTCCCTGCCAGTAGAACTCGATGTCGTCAGTGGTGTATCCATCTGAAAGAGGCAGGGGGACACAACAAGTAAACCTTCCTTAAAACACAAGACAAGCATGCAATGAACCAATGTAGTACATTACATCTCATCTGATTTGAATAACGCTTTTTTTCAAAGCAACTTTCAATAAGTGCAACCAATCATGAAGAAACAAACTCAAAGCGAGGATCCTTTAGGTACATTAGCTTATAATCCCAAACCATTTAAGTGCTACCCTTTTGCCTTCAAATAAACCAAACCTTTTGCTACATCCAGAAATGAGAATTACTTTTTTCATTACCCAAGGTGCCGTCGAAACAGGTAGATTTTTAGTCTGCAACCGAAGATGTGTAGACTATCTGCTGTCCTGATATCAATCGGGCTTGTTACAAAACCATTTTGGAACCAGGAAAGCAAACAGACATGTTTTATTTGAGGATTACATCGATCACTCTCACAGTTAGGGAGTAGGGAGCCGATTGGCCGACGCAGAGTGAAGTGGAAGTGATGGAGTGTTTGGTTTACCCATGTTCTGGATGTAAGAAGGACCTGATTTATTCATAGCACGAAAGGCCAGTACCAGTGTCTCAAAGTGGATTCTGGAAGCATCTGGCAGCCAGTAAAGGGAGCGGTGCAGTGTGGGAGAACTTAGGTGGG